ATTACAAGTATTCGTTGTTAACGTTGATAGCGCATTACCAGAATTATAAGTAAACAATCAATTGTAAATTATGTAAATGAATTTGTATAATAATATCCATTTTTTCTATCCATATAATATTGAATTTCTGTATGATTAAATGTTAAGGGATCCCTCAGAAAATCCCATTTTTCGAAGAAAAATTGGAGTAGAGTTATTATCATAGAACGATGCATTGAAGTCTTCTTTTTCAGAATATATATGGCTTGTCGAAAAAGGTACCGGTTTTAGCGAACCTATTGGCGGAAACTTAGCCCTCTTATCATGTTTTTCGAGAAATTATCGCGATTTTTTCAAGTTTTTCAGGCTTTGAAAAAACTGCTTTTCCATTCACATCAATATTGACAAAAACATTTATGTTAATCATTAAGAGCCTACTAACACTTAAGAGGGAGTATATAGACAAATCCAAAATATTAGGTCATTTGGTTTTGTCTGTAAAAAACGCGAACTAAAACAAGTTTGAAGGGTCTATTTTGACCCGTAAAAATGGCTATTTTGACGGTGTACTCAGTATTTTGACATTATCTCATGAACAGCTTGATCGTTTCGACTCAGCGACGTCTCATTTGATAGAGAACTGTATGGGCTACAAATCCGTTCTACTCAAGTGAATGACATGTAGGATAATAAAAATGCCATAGGTGAAAAACTGTCTAAAACTCGAGAAATGGCCTCTTCCAATAGGTTGGTACTTTGAACTTTTCTCACGTACTGCAAGAGATACCAAACTTCTTTTTTTACCAGATATAGATCGCAGCAAGACACATCTTTTGACATTAAATTGTCAAGATAAAAAAATTCGGGGGAGGGGCAACCCTACCTAGTGACTTTTGACCCATCCCTAAAGTCATACAATTTCTTCAGAAATCAAAAAAACTAACTTCAGATTCGTGTTCAGCGCGCAAAACTGAGTGGCATAAGTTATTTTAAAATTATTTTCTACTTGCATCTAGCAGAATAATGATCATAGGTGCACTCCGTGGATATATGATGCGTATATGATAGATAGAGGCATCAGTGTGTCAACTACAATTCCTCAACGTTAGTAGCTATCGAGTTTGGGTTTTGATCATTCAATATATTAGTCTTGCGGCATATTTTGGTACATTTTTGGCCCATGTTGAGCCGGATTCTGGTTAGAAAACTATAATTTCAATCAAAACCAATATCAGATTTAAAATCAGCGTTAAAAACTGAGTCGATCTACATATGTTTCAGATGTTTCTGAGAAGTTTTTTTTCTATGAAAAATGGCCGCTAGGATCCCCTCAGGGATCACCAAAAAAACTAATTTCTCAAGAAATAGTGTTTTTGTCGTTTAATCGTTTCTGTTTTTGGGTTTATTGACATGAAAGAAGCTTGATTACTTCATTCCATAGAATAAATAGCGTTTTTCAGAGAAATCATTTTTTGATGATCTCTGAGGGAGCCCAGGGACCATTTTTCATAGAAAAAAAAACTCTCAGAAACATCTGAAACATATGTAGATCGACTCATGAGGGAAGGTCACCAACTAATCAATCACTTTTGAGTCGGAACTATGTGCATCATGTTGATCCTAATGAGCTATGAATACCCTGAAAAAAATTCGGGCCGCTAGCTTATTACTGTCGAAATACTGCATTTTTACGATATTTTTAAGCAAAATGCCGTGGTTCCCCTCAGGAACACCAGCAAAACTGAGTTTTGAATTTCGACTTGAAATTTGGCACAGAAAAAGACCTCAATGAGAGTACCGTATTGTGAAAGTTTCAGATCTTTTGATTGTTCCTATTCTGAAATAAGAATATTGCAACCAGTCAGGGGTATATGAGCAGTGTAAAAACATCCTTTTTAGCTGTGCCTTAGGATATGAACAACCAAAAGACCTGATTGGTTAGCAATTTAGGCAGGCATTTTCCGGGCGAAGGATCAGCTGTTTTTGAAAAAACAGTAGACGTTGACCTTCCGCTGGGTGAGAGGAAGATTTCTGGAAAGTTTGGTTGCATTTGCTCATACCGTTTAGGAGTACATAGCGAACAGACAAACATTCTTCTTTCTATATATAGATTCAACAAAAGAAGGGGGCAAACACCTCCTCAGGTGAAAATTTTGGGTTGAAAATCATCCTATGACCTTCCCCTGGACGAAAGGATATTTCCTGCAAAATTTCATTGCATTTGCTCATACCGTGTCCAAGTGAAAAGCGAACAGACAAACAGACAAACATTCTTCTTTATATACCCGGTGTACCAAAAGTTTTGCGACATGTTTAATTTCACATATAGCTCGACTTGACAAAATGATAAAACGTTGGTTTATTTTTTAAAAGATGCACCGTGAAAAGTTCTACAAAATTGTATAAAAAAAATTCCTATTGACTTGTTCTGATCGTTCTTCCCATACTGAAAATGAAAAAGCAACCTGGTAGTGCTTTGTCCCACTGCACTGAGTATAATAAAAGTGTTTGGAAGACTTTTTTGTTTGATTTGGGAAAATGATAAAATCTTGATTTTTCTTGTAAAAGATACGCCGTGAAAAGCTCTACATAAACTGTATGAACAAATCCATATAGACTTGCTCTGATGATTTTTCTAGTTCATTAAAAGTGAAGATCTGCATGATGTTGCTACTGATTGTCCCAAAATATTTACACCATTTTTAATTTCGCATATATCTCGGCTTGAGAAAATGATAAAATCTTGTTTTTTCTTTTAAAAGATGCGTCGTGCAAAGCTCTACAAAAACTGTTCAAACAATCCCTAGTGACTTGTTCAGATGGTTTTTCCCATACTCAAAATGAAAAACTACATGATAGTGCTACTTTCTACCATACTGGTCCTGTTTGGAAGACTTTTTGTTCTGGATATATCTCGGCCTGAGAAAATGATAGAATCTTGATTTTTCTTGTAAAAGATGCACCGTCAAAAGCTCTAAAAAAAGCGGTATGAACAAATCCCTATTGCAAAACAAAAAGGTCTTGCAAAGACTTTTTATTACCCTTAATACGGTGAGAAGTAGCACTAACAATTAGCTTTTTCATTTTGAGCATGGGGAAAACCATCAGAACAAGTTAACAGAGATTTGTTTACACAATTTTTGTAGAGCTTATCACAGCACGTCTTTTAAAAGAAAAAACAAGATTTTATCATTTTCTCAAGCCGAGATATATACAAAACAAAATAGGTCTTTGAAACATTTTTATTACGGTGGAACAAAGCACTATCATGTTGCTTTTTCATTTTCAGTATGGGAAGAACGATCAGAACAAGTCAATAGGAATTTTTTTATACAATTTTGTAGAACTTTTCACGGCGCATCTTTTCAAAAATAAACCAACGTTTTACCATTTTGTCAAGTCGAGCTATATGCGAAATTAGAAATGTCGCAAAACTTTTGGCACACCCAGTATATAGATTACTTCATGGAGACATATGAAAATTAATATCAGTAAATAATTATGTAGATACACATAGTTAAGCGAAAAGTATCTAATAATGGTGCGGATCACACGCCCACAGCCATTCAAACAGGGGCATCAATGGATTCTTACAAATTGAAAACGACAAAATTATTCCAGCTGTAACAAAATAAACCTAAATATTGCGTTGATTAAATTATCTTTTCAAATGAAAGAATAATGTTGAAGCAATTGACAGTAGTAGTTTAAAAGAAGAAAGACATGCAAATTAAACTAAATAACAATCAGCTTTTTCTTAACTGAAAAATAGTTTTTCATATCAATTACTTTCAATAAATAAGAAAGTAACATTGTAAATGAAAGATTTCACAGAAAACCTTTCATCGACAATTCATGAACCACAGCTTGGCAAAGCTAGACATCGATTTATCTGAACAACACGAGAAGAGAACTATCATTTAGTAGAAATTATATGCATTGATTCACATTGAAATATCAACAGTGTGCAATCAACTAATTCTAATTCTGTTTTAAAAAATGGCAGAACATCTTTGCAAATAAAAAAAAAGTAAAGAAAAAAGAAAATAAATAGTTTTTGAGAAGTATAAAAATATTTGACGAATCAAATCATTCTGAATAACAAAAAAAATATAAACTAGTTGTCTAAGAGCAGTGAAAGTACAGCTGCAAAGCGAGTAAGAAAATACTATTCAAAGAAATGTTAGAAATTATAACAATGAAAGAATATCATGAACTGGAGGCGTAGCTCTCTCCATTATATTATTTCAGTCATATATACAACAACACAAAAAGATATATACATCATGAAAATTCATGTTTAGAATAAGTAATTTTGAGAATAGAAAACATAAAAAGAAGGAGAATATATAATGAATAGATGTAAAAGGTAACAATTCTAATGAGTAGTTGCTTTTTTAAAGAAGTAAAAAGATATCAACTTTTCACTAATGTTGATTTCATCTGTAGGCTAGTAGATTATCAGACTAATAGAATTAAACATTTTTATTTCTTTCGATTGTTCAACCTATTTTTAATTTTTTTAAACTTTAGTTAATAAATACTCTTCTAGATCAATGACTACACAATCAAGTACTCGTTCTCAATGTCGAAATAAATTTATACACTTCATCGAGAATCTGAATTTGTACGATGACGATGATGAATTAACTCTAACTGAGCAACTCTTTTCTACACGTTTTTTCATTATCTTACTTTCGATCGCTCTCTTAATCATACTATTATTTACTATTATTATTCCTCAAACACGTTCTGTCACTGTTGTTTCACCAAGTTTCAATGATTTCGAAAATATCGTCAATATTTACAAAACTAAAGTTATATGTCGCTGTTCTCAAACATCAATTCCTTATTCACAATTTGTATCATTAAATCCTCGATTTCATGAAGTTTGTTCAAGTGATTTCATCAGTGAAGAATGGTTTTCCTCTTTATTTAATGTCAATACAAGCAATTACTATCCTCTTGACTTTCGTTTGATGGCTTCTGCGCAATTTCAAATTTTATCTATTCTCTGTCAAATGTCACGTCAAGCTGTCATCGATGCTCTAAAACAATTTACTACAACAACAATGTTATCATTAACTGCATTATCACGTGATGTACTCAGCACTTATATAGACATGTCTATTGAACAATTTCAGAAAAATACACTAGACATTTACCATTCACAATATCATTTTATGTTATCTCTTGTCTCAGAACATCGTTTTATATCTGCATTAAGAACAAATTTCTATACAAGAAGTGTTCCTGGTAGTAATATTTCTGTAACTTATCCTGCCATTTATCCACAACAACTCGATCTAACTCAGTCGTCACTCATATCGAATAAAACATGTCGATGTGATCATACAAATGATTGCATTTATCCTGCTGGCATTTATAATCAATCGCGATCTATCATTCCAAATGAAGTCTTTTCTCTTGATGCACCACCTCTATTCATGATACCAGGATTTCAAGTAGGATGTATACCACAAAATGCATTGTTTCAATCAACATTGGAATGCTTTTATAATCAATCATGTTTAGATATTGTGATTTCGTTGACTGATGCTCTTCGTACTGCCTCAGTTCTAAATATTTCAAACTCTTCTTCACGATTCAGTCCAACAACAACTATTACTGTTCTTTTTGATAATCTAATGATTGAGTCTTGGGATAATTTTACTGATTTCACTACCTATTTCCAAATTTGTGCACCCAAAACCTGTTCATATTCATATGTACAACGTTTTTTTCTCATTTACGTGGTCACAACCATAGCTAGCGTCTTTGGTGGAATTCGTGTAGCATTACATACAGCATCTCCATTATTTGTCAAATTCATTTTACGTTTATGTTGCCAACGGGATCCAGTACAAGAAATTGAAGAAAAAAATGAATCAAAAAGAAGTAAAGTCAATCTTTACTTTAATATATATTTGTTTTTTCTTCTTGTACTTTTTGTTTTCATAGATTTCCAAGATCGTATATGGAAATTCTTTAAGTTAATTCGTCACAAAGTTATCACATTGAATTTGTTTAAAACAACTTTCATCAATGTTCAACATGGAATTTATGCTACTCGTGTCTATATCATATTACTGATGTGTGGTATTTATATTTTGACTCTTTACTCTACTAACATTGTTAGTTCACAACAAATCATTGTCAGAAATCCAAGTCTGAATGAATTTGAACATCTTTATGATATGAACATATCAACTCTATCATGTCCATGTCATAATTCATTGATACCACGTTCAAAATTCATATCCATTGAAGTAACACTTCATCCATTTTGTTCAAGTAGTTTTATTCGTGATGATCGTTGGTTCCAATATTGGACAATGACATTTCTTAATGGTAGCATCGATCCTAATCCACCATTTTATTGGACAGATTTTCGCAAGAATGGATTAAAATTTTTTAATTATGTTAAAATATTATGTGACTTTGCCAATATAACTTTGTCTGACATAATGAATTCATTTCAAGAAGAGTATTTTTTCTCTTCTCAACCTATTACTCAACTAGAATTCGATGGAACAAATCATGATTGGGAATATTTAGTTCAAACTCAGGTAGAATATAATGAAACAAGATAGCTTAAGAACATGTTTTCCCAAACTTTTGAGCATCTAAATCAGAATTTTTCGTTTTACTTTGCGATATTCTTTCCTACTATACGGAGAATATCTATGATTATAATGATTTTCGGCAGAAGGAAGGAAAAAAATATAAGTAGATCAATCTAGGAAAGCATAATAATCTTATTCTAGTCTCATTGAAAATGAAATATGTCATTATGGTTTTTCTCTAGATCAGCGTATTCTTCTATACTAAATTACAATTAGTGGAAACCAGTATTAGAGACAGTGCAATCGTTTCATCTGATTTTATTGATCCTTCTATAATCTCCAGACAGATCAATAACACATGGATTCTAAGGTATGTTCTGGGTAACTCTGATGATTTTCTGGGTACACCATGCGATTGTCTACGAACTTATACTTGTTCAAAACCAATGGGCTTTTATTGCTATCCATCGTCATGCATACAAATAATTATTCCTGGCTTATCTCTTGGTTGTCAGCTTTCAGATTTTGGTTATTCCACATTTGAATGCTTTTTCAACGAATATTGTGTTCAGATGTTGATTAATTACCGTCTTCATGATTATGAAAATATTTATTTACCAATTGATTTGAGTAATATAACGGCACTTAATGCAAACGATATTATCACATTTAGACCTGAAGATAGATTAGAAGATCTCAAGGTTGCCGCATTCGTTAATCAATGGACATATATAGGAAATTATACATTGTACTATACTCAATGTCAACCAGATATATGTACTTATACAATAGATAATGAATTACCTTCTTTTGCTCGTATTAACTTAGTTCTTGGTCTGATTGGAGGATTAAGTGTTTTACTTCGTCTCTTAGTTCCATCATTCATCAAAATTATCTATCTAATTTATAATTTGTGCTATAAGCAAACACGAGGTGAGTATTTTCTTTTCTGCTATTATTTAATTATCTTGAATTATTTTAGATGCTCCTTTACGTTGGCGAATGGTTATTACCTATATTCGAGATAAAATTTATTTCATCAATGTATACCAAAGCAAACGAGAAGTGGAACGTCAATATTTAGCAACAAGAATCTATATTGTTCTACTTATTCTATGTTTCGTGATCATCTCAGTTTTCATACGATTTCAGCAGCGGACAACATTGATAAGCATAGATTCACCAAATGAAGTTTACTTTTCATTTCTTCATGACCAATACTCTGACAGTTTGTCATGCCCTTGTACAAATATATCTATTCCTATTATGAATTTTTCAATTTTTTCACTTACATTTCGAGAATGCTTCACACAGATTATGTCACAATCGTCTCTTGCCATGTTATCATTACCAGATAATATGTTCTGGGAAGCACCTGGTTGGGATCGCATCACAGAGCAATTTCATATCTTATACACGCAGTTTTCTGTTTTTCAGTTACGTTTCTTGCAGAGATTGTTCATTATAAGTGATGCACGTTTGGTATCAGTTGAAGCAATGACCTCAGAAACATTTAATGTATGGTTTAACTTGTTAATAACTCAGACAGATAAGAAATCTTTGATCTCATCTGTTGATGCATATAAATTGATTTCTGATATGCTTCAAGCAAATCAATTTCATAACCGATATATGACAAGCTGGAAAACAGAATTTTCAAGTTTCGATGAAAACTATATCCTTCGTAATAGTCCAGTTTCCTTCAACAATGGCACTTGTTCTTGCCCAAGTGGTCAATCAAATTGTACAAAGATACCTATATATTATGATTCGATGGGTTATCCATATGTATTTCCAGGTAAACTTATTAATCAAGCTTTCTCACAAGCTTTATGATCAAAAGATGATAGTTAGAAAACTAAATTATATATCATTGATATTTCATTTATTTAGGGATTATGCTTGGATGTTCATTAATGAGTGGTCTTTTACAGTCGACATTTGAATGTTTCTATGATGATTATTGTGTTTATAAATTAAATACAGTTTTGGGTACTTCATTCATTAAATTTAATTCTAGTGCAGCGAATTTTCCACCAACGACACCAATTAAATCTGTTATGGATGAGTATCTTCCAGTCTCATACAATTTAACAGCTAATTATGCTACATACTTTCAAATATGTGCTCCATCAACATGTCAATATCATTATATGGAACAGCATAATTTTATTTACATATTCACATCACTGCTTGGATTGTATGGTGGATTAGCTGCAGGTCTACACATTTTCATATGGCAATTGTTGGGTATTGGCCAAGTCATTCTTCAGTTTTATTCACGTTTGTTGCAACGCATACATCCGTCGTCCTAAACTTGAATTAAACTATCTATCATATGAATAATGCGTCTTATTCAATATTGTCAATTTTCGATGTTGTATGTCTTGTCTTGCTTTTCTCAAGTATAAAATTTAGCAACCACACTTAGTATCGTTGCTTAGCTTTGCTTTTCATGGAAAAATTATTTATCTTCAATCAATTAGAAAATTTATTTGTATGTTAGCTGACTATTATCCATAGATGATAAGTTGAAAAAGAATATATTAGTTATTCAATAATCAAAGATGATGGACGAGTATAGTTATTTTATTTCTATACTCTAGCTCTTCAAAGAATATTCAGTTTAAAGTTCAATAATATATCCGAATTCATTAGTCATTGCACATATTATTGATCAATTTATTCAATTCAATTTCTTATACATCAATGTAAAATGATGTATGTAAGAATATCGATTCTCTTTCCAATTCATCTTTACAGAATTGCCAAAAATGTTTTTCCCGGAAGGTAACACTATAGTTTCAAACATAATACATATCTTATTTTATACCAAATAAAAGCGCATCGAAAATGGGAGTGTTCGTCGAGTTCTACAAACGTGTGTATATTAAAAAATTTGCAAAATATATTTTACAGATAAAAAATTCAAAACATCACTTGGAAAATCTCAGAAAAAAAAACGTTTAAAAAATTTCTTTTTTTATATGGAAAAAACTTGTGATTTTTTAATAATATTAACTTTTTTTTCATTACTTTTACTAGCTTAGACGCAGTTTTTTACGCTGCATTGAAAGGATACATTTTGAATGCACTGAGATAGTAAAAGTAATGAAAAAAAAGTTAATTTTATTTAAAGATTACATGTTTTTTTTCCATATAAAAAAAGAAATTTTTTAAACGTTTTTTTTCTGAGACTTCCCAAGTGATGTTTTGCTTGTTTTTTTTAATCTTTAAAATATACTTTGCAAATTTTTTAATATATACAGTTTTGTAGAACTCGACAAATTCTATTGAATCATGTAAAAACATTCAAGAAAAGAAAAATTTTACTCCTTTATTGAATTATTGACATTTTAATTCTCTGTATCAAAAACGTAGAAAATTTCTGAAAATGTCATAAATTTGACATGAAAAGGTTTCCGTTGCCGTTACTTTTTAATATGAATAAATCTCATTTTTGAAAACTCTGTACATAGTACAAAATCCATGAACAACATTACTCAAAATATCACTAAGAATTTCAATGTATCAGTTACAAAAAAATACCATCACTGGTGGTAATAGATAAATCTTTCATTGTTACTCTAGGAATTGTTCGATTATTTAGAAAATTTAAAACAATCTGATAAATTTTTTAAACAAGGACGCAATGCATCGTAATTTTGCTTTGACATACCCTCATCGACACTTCATCATAAAATTGACCCTAGACCAAAGTCAGTTGTTTCATACATACATATGAGAAATACTTTAGAATACGTTTTAAATAGTTCTAAAAACGGTAGTTTATGAGTTCAAATGAAGAAAACTACAAAACAAAATCATTCTCAACAACAGTTTTATTTCATTCTTTAGAAAAATATAGAATATATCCATGTGCTGAATCAATGACATAAGGAGTTTCTCCTGCAATGACCATGCCTTGTTTTGATTCCAGAGTCCAACACATTATACGATTATTTCCAAGAACAGTTACATATAGAACATCCGATTCGTCGACAAACAGTCCACTAGGATTTGAAAATTGCTTGAGAGTATTTCCTTCATCTTGTCCTCCAACGATAATAACACCTTTCTTCGTACCATTAATCCATTTCATGACATGATGAGTGTTCCAATCTGATACATAAATATTCTTAGAACAATCGACAAAAATATAAGTAGGAAAATCAAAATGATTCAAATGCGAACCTTCTTCATTTCCACCATCTCCAACAGTTCCATTTTGCATATTTTCTTTCAATTGATACTTTCTTACTTCATGTTTTTTAACATCAGAAATATAAAAATATCTCTGATCATCTATTTGCTAATCCAAAAAAAATCTATATTATCAATAAGAATTTTACCTTGCATTGTTCCACGACTGCGAGACCGTTGTATAATGCGTCGATTTTTCGAATCGGAAATAATGAGACAATTAGTCATTTTATCAATTAACACATCTGTTGGACCATTAAGTTGTTCTAATCGATTTCCTGGAGCGTTGCCACCAGCTACGATTGGACCATTCATATCACCTATATTCTACTGTATGATGTGATCAGCAATAATTATCGTTTGGTTATCATCATCGATGCAGAAGTCATAAGGAAGAGAATATTCATCAGTAATATCATTTCCAGCAACAATCGTTTTGTTCTTTGACCACTGAAGTTTAACAGGAACTTTGACCATAACTACAAAATCTTTTAAATTTAAGTCTGAAGGAAAAATAATAGATTGTTGTATTCTTTGCTAATTGTGAAAAAAACTTTCTCGTTTTCTCTCTAGACTAATGAAGATCTTAATACTCGAGAAGGAGTATGAAAAAAAGTAACAAAAAATTATAGCAAAGTTTTCTTTGTTTCTCATTTCAACAAAGATACTCAATTTTACTCTTAGACACACATTGTAATAAATATTCTATGAAATTTAAAGTTTTCTCACGACTTTTAATAGTTAAGAATAGGCAAAGCCCAAGCAGTCGGAAATCAGAAAATAACACGTTTGAACGGACACTTTTCTTTTTTCTTTGAACGCATTGTACGTTTCGACAAAAGTCCGAATTTTTGCGTTTTAACAATTGATATAATTTTCACTTTAACATCGTTAAATCGAGTGGAAAGAAAAACATTTAAACAAGTTACTAAAACAACTGCATCAAAACGCAAAAATTCGGACATTTGTTGAAGTGTACAACGCATTTGAAGGAAATTTTTTAACAAGTTCAACACCACAAAATTAACTAATATAATAAATAGACTGCTCTGTATGTCCAGCGGGGTGTGGGTGTGGGTATGGGTGGGGTGTGGGTGTGGGTGTGGGTATGGGTGGGGTGTGGGTGTGGATGTGGGTTCTGTTGAAAAGAAGATCCATACCCGTGCACACACGCACACCCATACCGACACCCACACTCCACACCCGCACCCACACCCACACCCCACTCACACCCACACCCACACCCCACACCCCACACCAACACCCACACCCACACCCCACACCCCACATCCCACATCCCACATCCCACATCCCACATCCCACATCCCAC